AGAAGAAAGTATTCTTGTGTTGAGGGAGTACTTGAGTGGAGGCCCAATGTCCTTCTGCTACCTTAATACTAAACCTGTAAATGTAGGCTCATAGATCTATTTCTCCATCCTCATATAATATATTTGTATATGTACATGTCTTTATCTAGAGCTCTATAAATAGCCTTTGCCTCCCAGCTCTTTCCTCTATTTCCATTGATTCTCCTCCTGTCCCACTATCAGAGAACAGCATATTTTAATTTGAAGGGAAAACCTGCAGAGAAAAATACCATTTGGACTTTAATATGTTGAGCAAGCAGTTTGCCAAAGGATGCATCAACGCAGAAAGTGTGTGCCCATCAGAGATAGCCCCCTCTAGGACTGAAAGTAAAGTGAGCAGTTGAGTTTGACATGCTTGCTACGGTGTCCACCTGGATCTACTTGGTGATAAACAGCACTAAAGAGGCAGGCTCAGTTTGGGCATGTTCCGTTAGTATCTCTGATGACCTGATCCATCTTTAGCCTTAAAGACGAGATGTCAGCTGTTTGAATCCACCAGCTGTTCCATAGGAGACAGAAATGGCAGTCTGCTTCTGTAAACATCTATAGCCTTGAAAATCCTGCAGGGAAGTTCTACTCTGACCAATGCTGGAGAATTTTTTTCTAAAAATGGAAGTGAAATTTTCCAGCAAATTGTGATTCATAGCAGCCATGTAGGACACAGCAGAACTGGACGCCAAAGTTTCCTCTGAGGGCACAATTTTTCCTTTAGCATCATAATACCTTCCCATTGAGCACTGTGGAATGCCTCCCCCCACCTTATAGAAACAATGTTATAACTTGGGTGTCCCTATGAACAGCAGCACAACTCTTTGAATACAAAACTAATGGCAAATATTTGTGGAAAGTGTTTTGAACTACTTTCCAGCTACTTTAAGGCAAAGCCCTTTTTATGCTTGTCATTTTGATCATTTAACTTTGGTTTTACTAATAAAACATTTTGGTGGAACAGAGAAATACCAGGTCTCACAGGAACGTCTGACTCTCCAGCTTCCTTCCCAAAAGAAGGATTTTGGTCACACTTTTCCTAATAGTAATCCTTACCTTTGTCCATTTTCTCCTGTTCCTGCCCCCCCACCCCCAGCCTGGATAGTGGATTGTCCTTCCTTGTACCTTCGCCTCTCCGTTCCTTGTACCTTCCCCTCTCCGTTTGTTCTTATCATTGTCTCCACGACTACTCCTAACTGACTCATGCTTGTTAAACACACACACACACACACACACACACACACACACACACACACCACCTAGTAGGAATATCTTTTTTCTTTTTTGTTCGAGGCTCATCACGGCCTCTTTCTGAGGATTGACGTTAAAGGTAATCCCAGCCAACTGAGGAGAGCCCTCTGCCCCTTTGGAGGCACTCGGGTGGCACAGTGGTGCCCTTTGGGCTGTTCTTGGGGTTACCAGGATTAGTGGCTCGAAGCAAGAAGCCTCTCTGAGAGAGAAAGACAGGCTTTCCACTCCTGCCTTAGTCTCTGAGACCCACAGGGGCAGTTCTCACACTTCTACTCTGTCCCACAGGGCAGCAACTTGATGGCAATGAGTGTCTTTCCCCCTTGTCCTAGGAACAACATTTTTTTGCATAGGTCTGGGTAAGAAGTTGGGGAAAGACACTAATCGGGCTGATCTATAAGTAACTGGCTAACAGGACAGCAGCACCTATGTATATTACTGAAGGGCAGAACAAGTGTAAAGGAGGGGGTGGCAATCTCTACAACGCTCCCCACCTCCAATTCCGGCACTTTGTGGCTAATTTAAAAATTGTGTCCCCTCCCTCTACCCCAAATTTCATGACGAATAGCCTTTGATAGAAGCGCCCTTAGCTGCTGTCTCCTCGGCTGTAAAGGCACCTGTCATAGTTGTGGCACCTCCTCTGGCCCCTGGAGCTTGCGTGGGGAGCAATGCCTCCTTCAGGATGCTTCGGTGACTACCAAACTTGAGGCAGGGCGTTGGGCTGCACCTGGTTAAAGGAAACTGTTCAGTGGTGCCTCCTGCCCGCTTCCATGGTCATCCTTGTTACCTGCCACACCTTATACCTTTCTCTGTCTGGGGGCAGCCTACACCAGGGCTGAAGATTTGGGGTCCTTCGGTGGCGGCGTGGGCAGCGTTACCCAGCAGTTACTTAGAACAAATCATCTCTCTCCGCAGAGTAGTGAGAGACACAGGGGGCGATTTGTTTCACGTGAGGCTTCGAAGGCCTGCATGGTCTTCGAAGGTCTCCTTTCAGCCGGCCGCCCTTGAGGGGCGGGACGAGTCCTAGGCTGATGCTCCTCTCTGGACCGACTGCCCTCCCCGGGCTGGCACGTGGCGCCTGGCCGGTTGGAGGCGCTCTCGCGTGGGAACTTTCCGCCGATCCGGGCGGGACGGGGC